ATTGCAAAAAGATATTAAGAAGGCACAGCAGTTTTATTCTACCATCAATGCTATTCACTCTTCTTCATAAGAAAAGGTTAGCAACCAAGTCACGCGATGAGTATGCCAAACAGGACTTCAGTAAAGGTTATCTAAATGCCTGGCATGATTTGACACACAAAAATTGGACAAACACCAGTTATTCCTCGTAAGCCATGTACATACCTCTTGGGCTTTCAAATAAAAGCATTCTAATTAATTGTCAGGGTAGGAACGAGTGCAGGAAATTACCTCCGTAATGTATAGGACTTGAGACAAATTGTTTCCCACAGTCCTTGCTCTCTGCAAAATGTCTGGACAGTAGATTGCTAGACTGATCCTCTCACCTTGTCTTCCAGATATTCCAGCACTTTTCTACCAATCCTGCCTGACTCTTCAGGCATACAGTTGTAGAGCGGCAGCTGAGTACAGAATGTTTTGGCATCCTTGGAATAGGGAAAAGAGTGTTATGAACCATATGAGTCAAAGGCAGGTGCTCGAGGACCTGATTTCTTCTTCATCCTTTCAGAAAGAAGAGGAAAAAATATTTTCTGCTTCTGAATTGGTTGGCTTTTGAAGGTCAATAAACCTGTTGTTATCCAGTCAGCTGCTGGGTGACCTGTATTTATTGTACTCTGATGTGCAGTAAAAAGGTGATACTGTGAAGGAAAACTCAAAGCCTTATTTGAATGTGTAACCAAGTTTGTTTACTTCAAAATAACAATAACAATGTAATGAATGTCTGCTGCAGTGTTAAGTACATACTTGTCAAAATTTGATTTATGTGATCATTTCTGGATGTTAACTCAACCATTGTTAACATAACCTCCGTCATTTTTATATTCATGCTGCCTGTGGGCATGCACTAGTGCAGCACTGCAAAAGAAATCTGAAAGAAAACTGGTAGCAGTTCCTAGTGCAGGAAACCTATTTCCCTGAAATAACAGATTTTGGGGTATAGTGTGCCATAGACCATGTTAAGGTGAGCAGATCTGTGTAACTGGAGGAACTTTGTTAGGAGAGAGAAAGCAACCATTGATTCCTGTAGCTTATTAACCTCTTGAGGGCCATGTGCCATATCCAGACATCATCCATGACCTGATAGTACGTATACGTGTATCAAATCACCTAAAGAAAAATGCAGCCACTTTTGCTGCCTGCTAAAACACACTGGAAGATATGCTGTGAGCTCAGGCTGCCTTGTGTGTCTGGAGGTAGAAGTTAAGCTTTGTGAGGAATGCTTACACAGACACTTCTGTAAATGTGTATTTAATTCATACAATATGTGTATGTATTTCATACAATTAATGTGTTCAGTGTACAAAGAAGGGTTTCTCCAACCGCTGTGCTAGGCAGTAACTCTGCAGGATATGAGAATGGGCATCTTTGAAAAGATAAAGATCGTGCTTTTTTTTAGGTAAACAAAAATTCAAAAGTTGCCAGGATGACTAAAGATAAATACAGTTCTCAAGGGAAGTTTTATGGCTGTAAGCAAAAGACATTTTTGTTTGTCTTTCATGTTTATTTCAAAACTGAACATAATTACTAAGTCTTTCCCATTTGAGCCTTGCAGCTTGTGTTCTTTAACTAGGTAATACAGCATAAGTTTTAGTACCCATAATTCCATAGCACAAGTTCAAGTGATATCTGCAATGATATTTTTATTCATATACTTGTAATACAATTTAACCTAATCAGAAGTAGCTATCAATAACTCTGTTTCAAAGTCACTGTATGACTTACATCAGGTGTTGTCATTGAAGTTTTGTATTTACAATTGAAATTGAGATTTACAGTTGTCAGTAAGGAAGTGGTGTGTTCAGTGTATTACTGCAAGTCATTCACGTAAACCCTTAATTTAATCTTAAAAATGCATCTTGAGTTGGTGTCAGCTGGTGGATCACATGTTAGGAATGGCTCCTGGCTGCTGGGAGATTCAGGTGTGACTGCTGAGCTGAGCACAGAATTTGAGCATGCATTTTCAGCTGCTTCACCTTTTGCTCTTCTTTTTAACCATCCTTTTTCTCTCAACTTCATATGGCTGTACTTTTCTTTTGTATTTAACACTGATTTGGGGAGGGAAAAGAGAAAATGCTGATGAGATTATAATAGTATGGGGTGTGTTGTGCTCAGCGGGGGCAGTTTTATGCAAGACACCATCATAATAAGGTTCATTATTGTGGATGTCATAATAATCTGTTATGAGTCATAGCAATCATCTGGCAAGTCCTGTGATTCATAGACATATCAATTATTACTGAAATGACCCAAAGGATTCAATATTAACATGATATCCTTTAAGTCAACATCCAGAGTTTTCATGTGGATAGTCTACTGTGCAGGATTTGGGCTGTTCTGGCAGAAGCCCAATATTGAAAATATGTCTCCTACCATCCTTTATCAGTATAATGAGCTTCTTCCCTTATGAATGAAAATACAGAACAGAAAATACAGAAAAAAAGATTATTGTGAATAATCTTTTTGCATTATATATTGTAATACAGTGCTCAACTGAAGCAGCAAGTAATGTTTCAAAGACACTCTCTGCCAATGATTAGGGTTGAAACCCATGACAACCTTGTGGAGCACTGTGACAAAGAAGTGGCAACAAGTTTGATGGTTCAATTCAGAAAATATGTTTCAAAATAAGCAAGCATTTGTTTCAACCTGATGTGTTTTTGGTTTGGTAAGCATTTGTGCTACTGAAATAGTCTGGTAATCAAAAGGATAAAATGACCACTTCTTCATAATCCAACACACAGCTGCTTGTTGGGACTCGGGCCAAACCTTCACCTTCAGATCACCCCACAGCAACGCTTACATGTGAGTTTTAAAGAGAGTTTAGGGGAATGTAGCCCTCTGTCTTTAACTGAAAAAACCCCAAATATTAACTTAGATAAAAATCAGTTGGAGCAGCTGTTCATTTTTAACGTAAAAAAGGGAAGTTTTCCATACTTTAAAATTTAAACTTCTTACCTGAAAGTAGTGATGGTTTGGGGGCAAAGATGGAATTAGGAAAATTGGAAAGTCAAGAAACAGCTGACACAAGTTTAAAAAGTTAATTCACTTTAAGACTGTTTTGTTACCTAGGCATTAAGCTGAATGCTACCAATCTCTTAGCAGCACTATATAAATGCAAAGAAATGTGAAAACAAGCCTACCAGTTCCTCCACATGACGCTGTCACTGGGTAACTGTTAGCACCTATGTTAGTTACTCCTTCAGTGGGCCATGAAATTGTTCCAGCTTTTAAAAAGTGTGAGAGAATTAAGGCAGGTGCTGGCACATCATAAATGAAACTCTAACCTTCAGGCTGGTACAGTGGTGACATTGTTACTGTTCACATTCTTGAAAACACATGGCTTGTCAAGCTGCAGTAAAATTATTTTGTGCTTTTACATTATTAAAACTCAGTGGCGTCTTTGGGCTGCCCACGAAAGGTGTGAGACTTACAGACATAAGAAAATACATTAATTATTGATACTTGCTATGTATTTTTGTTGTTGTTGTTGTTGCTGAGTTTGTGTTGCTCAGTAGCTGTTCAATTACCTAATGAAGAGATTTGCTACAGAAGGTGCTCACATCTGCTGTTGGAGAACTCAAATACTGATCCAAAAAAACCCTTAATGACTTCTCTGGAAAATCTCTCAGAATAATAATACTCATAAAACCAGCATACAAAGTCGAACCTGATTTCACAGCAGAACAAAGGCTCAGCGTTTTTTCATTAAAGGGAACAGCAGAATATAAAGAGTCATCTGAAGTCCGTGGGTGTTTTTCCTGAGTTCTTAAGCCTTTCTTTAAACCTTAAGTCCAGCGAATTGCTATGCAGCTTCTTACCTCAAGCAATCATTACTGTTCTCTCGAAGGAGCGCTTAATCTTAAGTTTCTTACAAGGTTCATCTTACAGATAAAACCGTGTTGAATCCTACTACCTTCAAACTACTGTCCAGTTTCTGTCCTTCCGTTTTCCAAAACTTGTATCAGACTATGAAATGAAAACATCACAGCTGTGTGTGAGGTTCTGTTAAAAGTTCATATGAAATTATCTATATTTATAGCCATTTTTAGGAAACCTGCATATTTTTCTTACTAACAGTAAGGTTATTTAATTACTCTAATTACTGATTTAATCACTGTATAAAAACTGCCTTTGTTTTTGTGCCACATTTAGCCCTATATGAAAATCTCTTAATACAGCATTAGGGAATTAGAATTGTCCTCGTACTGAGTAAAAAGAGAACGTACTCTCTTGTGTAATCAGAAACGCATGTATTGCCTGAATATGCTTGCTTTCCTAATTGTAGAACTAAAGTATTTCTGTCATTTATAATTTGCCTTTATATGTAGGAAGGGCACCAGACAATACAGAAGGATTATTAACCTATTCTTGCTTCTTTCTCTCCATTTTCTCATTTTCCAGAAGTGGGTCTTACATCTGTGCTTTTAAACTGTATTTTGACGTCCCTTCTGGTGTCACTTTTTTGGTTTTATATTGAACATCACCTTGTATGCTAGCACTATGCAATTTTAATATGTTCCAGTGATAGTCCTGTGAGGTGGCAAGCTAATGCTGTTTTCAATTGTATAGCTAGGGAGCAGAGGCACAGAAGAGTAGGAGCAGCTTTTCCATACCTGACTCTGCCTAGTCATTTAGGCTTCCTGTAGACAGCTAGTTAGGTGATATATCACCCCCCAGTGACATAGCTTAGGTCACATTAAAGTCCGTGGCAGGCAGTGTACTGAATTCAGGTATTCCAAGGCCCACTTTAGTACTTTTTTTTATTGGAACATATATCCTTTCTGAAATATTATGATGAAATACAGGGATTTGAATACTGCTTCATCATGTAGATTGGCAAGAGGCATGAACTTTGTGATTTTTGCCATTTTAAAGTCTTTGCTGTTTCTCCCATTAAATAATTGAGAATGTCATCCTTCATCTTGGGTTTTCATGGCTTTGGTACTGCTTGCTTTTCACAGATTCTACACTTTCAGGGGAAATTGGCACCAAGAAGAAAGTGAAAAGACTGTTAAGTTTCCAGAGGTATTTCCATGCATCCCGGTTACTGCGTGGAATTGTACCACAAGCCTCTCTGTACCTACTGGATGAGGACTACCTTGGGCAAGCAAGGGTAAGACAGGTTTCCACACCTCCATTTCTCCAGAGAGTGTTGGGTTTGTTTTGGTCTTCAGATAAACAAATGTATGGCTGATCTTTCTTAAATGGCCCACATTACTTGCCTGCCTCACAGCAGACTGTCAATTCCTCTTTTACAGTTACAGCTTTAAAGGCTTAGTCTCAAAGCAACAAGAAAGTGTCTAAATATATTCAGCATTTTCATATTCTGACAACTGAAATTATAATCTGGATTTATTAAAGGGTGAAGGATCCCTGGCTAGGTTACCAGTTTAAGTAAGGGCGGCCTTGACACAGGATTTAGTTCATCCACTTGAAACAAGACAACTGTCTCTCAGCTGGTATGGAGCAGCTATTAGGCAACCCAGAATAGCTCTCCATAATGGCAAAGACTAGGAAACAAGGAACAATCACTGTAAATAACTTCACAATAATCAAAATACTGTTCTCTTATTTTGCAGCTTTCATACTTTCTTTGGATGGTATTTTCTAACAAAACTTGGACAATTGATGGCATTGGGATTGTGAGCCTAGGCAATTCTTATTCTCTGCAAGAGAAGATTACACGTCAGGTGTTAAAAAGTAATTAAGAATCCAGAACTGGTTTGAATATAGATTAAACTATGGGCGTGAACACACATTTCATTCACACATACGGTATTGTAGGTCATACAGATAGTCCAGACTCATTCTCTTGGCTGTTGTAGCAGTAAAAACACTGTATATGGTGATAATGATAGATTCTTATGCATGGCTGAGTGGGCTTCACAGAAGCACTTTATCTTATTTTATAAAAGCTATTCCTCTGTATTGGTTTGTTTAGCAAAATGTAATTCATATTCACTGTGAGAGCTAAGACTGTGTTTTACTGTAATAAAAACCTAAGAGAATTTGTACTGAATTGATTTGGGGACACGAAAGAAGAAAAAAGTTGTGCAATAGAAGGGAATGTTTTCATAATATATTGGTTTATATTATTCCATGTTTTAAGCTCTATTTAGAAGGTATTTTTAGTGTCAAGTTCAAAACCTCCTCAGTTAGAAGTGCAAATGATACAGGTTTTTATGCAGTAGAGGTAAACTTGGTTCCTGATGCCTGATATTTCAAATACATCTCTATAGCTTTCCCAAGCAAAACTTGAAAGCAGCAGCAATCAATCCTATAATTGATGAATGTAGAATAATAATTTAAATCTGCTTTTCAGTTTGACATATCAGTCATTTGCCTTTTCATATTTGTTTTTTGTAGCATATGCTGTCCAAAGTGGGAATGTGGGATTTTGACATTTTCTTGTTTGACCGCTTGACAAATGGTAAGTAATTTTCAAAAATGTCTTCTTTTAGCGTCTCTCGCATATGACTGTTCTAAAAATCCCTAATTAATTAATTGCTAAACATTTCCAGTTTAGATTACTGAAGAGAAATTACACACAATCAACTTCTCTTCAGATCATATCCTTGAACATTTTCAGGCTTTTCCTGAACAATAGGGTAATGTTTAAAGTGTGGTTTTGTATTTACCTAATCTCCTGTATTTGCTATGGTCTCCTTTTCAAGGAGGTGTTTCAGTTTCCTTACCTGGGAAATTCCAAAAGTACTTTAAATATACCTGTTGAATACATTGGTCAATAATTCCAGATGTCCATAATCAGTCAGTTTCTATCAATATGAAATACCTTCAACTGAGGATGCCCTTGCTTCTGTTCAACAGCAAAAATTAGGAAATTCGTTAAGAAAGTAAAAATGTGTGAAATGTTTTGTCTAAATATATGCCTGTAACACCACCCACTGCCCAATGTCTAGGCGATACCTCTTGATCAGGTAACTGACTAAAGATGACATGATCACACTTTTCTCCTTTCTTAGGAAGGAGATTTCTCATTCCTCACCCCCAATCTAATTAGGTTTGGAAAGGGCAGAAGGTGTAGAAAAAGGTTGGTTTAGAGAGTAATTCAACTGAGTGACTGGCAGTGAAGAATGGGTGGCACTTCAAATGGCAAGGGAAGCAAAAGCATAATTCTTCAAAATTACCTTTCTGCATCCCTGTTCAGTAGTTCAGGCCAAGTAAGCTTCCATGTACTCTTTGTAAGTCTGTTTATTTTCTTTCCTGAGTTACATTAAATAAGAAAAGACTCCCTTCAAGCATTGTTTTTATGTTTTATGCTTTGATTGGTTTGGGTGGTTTTTTCTAACTTTTCCGGAAGCATTGCTGCTGAATTTTGCAGTGCAAACTTTTTAAAATACCCTGTGTATGTACAGTTGATCATATAATACTAGTTAGGCACAATTTTGCCAGTGTCCCCAGTACTGGATTCACAATAAGGACAGAGTTAACACTACAGTGGAACTGGAGACCATAACTGCTGCAACTCCTATTTCCTGTCTGCATCATTGTTATGAGATGCAGTTGTAATTGAGCTACAAACTGCTGATTTCTCAGTAATCAATTATTAAAATACAGCAAACTGAAGTGGCAGAAAAGCCATTCTTTCTGTGGTTTCTGGAGGTAGACCTGGCTTAGGAAGGTGATGTGGTTCTCAAACAAGCCTGTCAGAAGTTTTCCAGTTAAAACCATGTCAGTTTGCCCTCTGCGTCAAGTTGAAACAGCAAATGTGACCTTACGGCATCTAGAGACAAGAATGGCACTCCACCACTATAGCCATACCCTCAAATCTTGTTTCTATACAGGGGTAATTTACGTAAGATGCTTTTGAGTGGCTTTATAGTGACACTTTTGAGTGTGTTATCACTAAAATGGTAGGAGCTGGCTAATAGGAAATTACCAAGATTTTTAGTCTTGCTTGTTTTGCAGCTACATGTTAAGGGAATCTAACAGCTGTTCCTTTCTGATTTTAGGAAACAGTCTTGTAACACTGCTTTGTCACCTCTTCAATGTGCATGGACTTATTCACCATTTCCAGTTAGACATGGTTACATTACACAGGTTTTTAGGTAAGTGCTCACCTCAAAGCCATCTTTAAGTGCAGTTCACAGCTTAAGTAGGGCTTCAGAGAAGGCACTGGCTTGGTCTCCATATCTGTGTAAAATTGTTATGTTGCTGCAAATGTTTCGGTAAAACATTTGTGTGATATATATTAATACACAATTTACAGGCACTCAGGTACATGGTTCAGTATTTATTAACTTAATGGAGGGACTTCAAAAGGCTCTGCATTGGGCTGAAGCATCCTAGTACCACAGTTGCACTGATGTTTGTAAAAATACATGCCATGCAGAGATGTGGCCAGCCAAGCAGGCCCACACAGACAGACAGACAGACATTGCAGAACCTACCCGTGCACAGTATAATTGTGGTGCAGTGTAATTATGGTAGTGACTAATAGACCACTGAGACCCAGGGCAGTTAAAAGCTTATGTGCAAAATTTAACAAATTATATCAAGCTGTCTGCACTGAATAGTGTTGATGAAAGCCCCTGCTGCTGTTACTGCCAACCGAAACATTAGCCCCATGCTGTCAGTGAACCAAAAGAAGAAATTGGCCAAAATCAATTACATTTTGCATCATGTTTTGAATGCAGCTGAATGCCGGTTTGCTAGGCTGTGAGGCGGAGTTTCCAAGGCAGGGTCTCTTCTTTAAGGCTGCCTAATTGTCGCTTTTGGAAAGCATTCCTCCGGTGTGGAGACAGACAGAATCTCCCTGCTGTTTGTCACTCCTGTGGGCAGCCATGAAGTGGACGCTCAGATAATTAGAGCTAGTGGTACTCAGGGTTTAAAGGATTACCCACCATAACTTCAGATGCCTGTGGAGCTGGAAACAAGCTGAAGGCTGGGACTTTCTTTGGCATTCTCCATGCTGGTGATGAGTGCCATGGGAAATTTGCCCATTACCTTTCTCTTTGATTAATTTGATAGTGTCTAGGAGAGTGCTTTGGGCAAGACCACCTGCAGCTTCCAGTGTTCATGTGCTCTTGCCCTAAGACCACCTAATGGTACAGGTACTGTCTTGAGGAACATAAGAGTCTGAAGCACACACCTCAATGATTTTCTGTACAAGCAAAAGCTGAGAGTTAAAAGATTGGTGCTTCTGGTCCAGCTGGACCAGTTCCAGCACTGCAAACCAAAATATGAGTGAGTGGTGTTTTAAAATGAACATATAGATGTGACTAAAATCATCACAGGATTTTGCTCCAAATACTCCAAAGCTGTATCTTTTGATTCTCTGCCTGGAGGATGTAGGAATGCCTTTGACTGTAGTTAGTCACTCAAATAACAAATGATGCCAGGATATCAGGGCCTCACCTCCTGCTGCTGTAAAATAGGTGGTACTGCCTTAATGACATATTACTCCCTTATGACACCAGCCTAAATAATTACACTCCGTTGTGGATGAATTTGCCTCTCTTCCTTATTTATTTTACTCCTGAATGAGAGCCTTCACTAAGGTAAGAAAGAGTTGATTTATTAACTAGACCCAGTATATCCCCTTGGGCCTCACAAGTCCTGTCATTCATTTTTTCTTTAAAGGTATCCCAATAAGAGCACCAGTCTAAGTAAGTTACAGCAATTTGAAGAAACTCCTTAGGCAGTTGACTGCAAAACCTCAAATTGTACTTTAAATCCAGTTCCCACTTGTGGCTGTGGTATTCAGAGACAAAAGGATCTTTGTTTTCTGTTTTGGTTCTCAGTTATGGTTCAAGAAGATTACCATAGCCAAAACCCGTACCACAATGCTGTCCATGCTGCTGATGTCACCCAAGCTATGCACTGCTATCTGAGGGAGCCCAAGGTAATGACAACCTTTCACACTTATTTTGCTTTCAGATTATTCTCAGTTTGTTTCCCCAAGATTGAAAAAAATATATAAAAGCAGCTATTTTTAGATAGCAGAAAATGTTTGCGGGCTTGAAGTCAACAACCAGTCAATAGCAGTGTCAGCTGCAGACTGCAGACATTTCAAACAAGATACTAGTCACTTCACATCATGCACGTGATGTATCAAACTGATGCTGAATGAGCTGCCATGACAATGTGTACCAGCCCCCCACCAGTGGCTGCAGTCCTTCCATCAGAGCCAGCAGAAGGCAACGCATGCCCGTGCCTCAGGACATAAGCCTTTCACACCAGTATTTCAAAATAACAGATCGGGCAGGGCAACACCACAAAAGGGGACAGCAGTCCTTTCGACTGGGTCTATTGCAAGGGTATCCTCTGCGTGAGTGAACAGCAGCTTCAGCAAGCCCTCACAACACGAGGATGTGACATTGATTTATGTGTTACTGGAATGCACTATAATAGTGTAATGCTGAGCCACAGTATGAGAATATAGCTAATGTTTCCTGGCTTAATTTAGGTGAAAGGAAGTTCTGCTAGAATTAGCAAATTGTTAGGCCAGAATATAGTAATGGTAAACAAGGGACAGGAGCAGGCTAGAGCTTTCTCGTATTTCCATCTCCTGCAAGATCTGCAAGTGCCTTCTGTCAAGAAGTGTGAAGGACAGCTAACATCCAGAATACCACACTGCTTTTCATTTCTCACCTCAGAATGCTGTACTCTGTACAGACTCATCAGGCTGGTAATAACTGCATCACCATGAGAAACAGAAAATGCCAAGACTTCTTTTTTTTTTCTTTCTCCCCAGTGATAACAAAATTTGCTTCTGAATGATAAGTGGTATAGAAGAAAAAAAATCTGGGCAGGTTTTCAAATGTGGATGTCTGCAGCTAGGAAATTAAATTATGTTCCAGTAAAGTACTTATATTTGAACTGAAGTTGATAACAGCCAAGTTTGAAATTTCAAAAGTTTACAAACTCTGCATTTTACAACACAGTGCTGCACTAGAAAAATGAAGCCTGATGTATTGTTGGTATTACTAAACACTGTGTGAAACAGAGCTCTTACCATGTATGCTAACGTATACCAATCTGCTAGAATACTTACTTTTTTAAACTGAAGCTTTTAGACTATGCTCAAGCACTTCTATAACAACAATTCCTATAATGCCATGAATGATGAGGAGATAAGAAAGACTGTGATAAAATATGAGTAATATAGTCTGATATCTTTATAGATGTTTGTTCGTCACCTTTAAAATGTTGTTCACAAAATTTGTTAAATATTTGACATTTGTGTACAAAAGCCTACAAAACTGAGCAATGCCACGATCTCAGCTGATCTCCTTATTTGCCAAAAGGAAAAAAAACAGGTATTTGCTGTTCACGTTCTGTTGTGATTAATGTGTGTGATTCAGCTTGCCAACTTCCTCACCCCGTCGGACATCATGCTCGGACTGCTGGCTGCTGCAGCCCATGACGTGGATCATCCGGGGGTCAACCAACCCTTTCTGATTAAAACTAAACACCACCTTGCCAGCCTGTACCAGGTAAAACTGCTCATCAAGTTGTTAATACGTAAAATGATGTCAAGGAGAGTCTAAGCAATTTGCAGTGAACTTTAATGCCAAAATGTGGTGGCAGGGGGATGTTGATCAAATCAACCGGCACTTCAGAACCTGGACAATTTCAGTTAAGTTCCTCACTGGGTGTCCTTCTTAACAGCAGATCTGATACACATGATAAGGAAGGTAGAAATATCAGATTTTGTTGAGGATGTTTAAGCCAAGTTGGTTGCCTAGGTTATTTCTTCTGTGGATCATCTGGGGTAAGGGACTGTGGGCAAGAGATTCAAAATCATAGTGAGACAATTTGTATTTCTTCTTCCTTAGTGAGCAAGTAAGCAGCAGGCATGTTCTAAATTGGCATTGCATCAAAAGAATTTTACTTCATGTGGTTCTAGTAAAATTAAACACTTAATGAATACTGCAATTTAAAAAAAAAAAGAAAAAGAAAATGAAAAAGAAGATAGAGGAAACAGAAGGAAACATTGTAGCTATTGACACTGTCCTGGGTTTAGCAGTAGCAGTCATTTTTCTCTTTCTTGGTAGCTGGTGCAGTGCTGTGTTTTGACTTTCGGGCTGAGAGCAGGGCCGAAAACAATGATGTTTTGGTTTGGCCAAGGACTTTGTGAGCCTCATGCTCTACCAGGGAGGAGGGAAGCTGGGAGGAAGCAGAGACGGGACACCTGACCCAAACTGACCAAAGAGGTATTCCATATGAGAGCACATCATGCCCTGGATATAACTGGGAGTTACCCAGAGGGGCTAGGTGGACTGCAGGGTTGGAGAAGGTATCGTTCAGTGCTTGGTCGGGCTGGGGGGGCGAGTTATCGGTCGCCTGGTGATGAGGTGTTGTATTCTCTTCCCTTGTTATTTCCTTTACCATTACTATTATTGTTGGTAGCAGCAGTGATTTGTGTTATACCTTAGTTACTAAACTGTTCTTATCTCAACCTGTGGGAGTTGCATTCTTTCTGATTCTCCTCTCCGTCCCTCCAGGAGTAGGGGGAGAGCAAGAAGAGGGGGGAGTGGGTGAACAAGCTGTCTGGCTGGATTTAAACCACGACAGACACTAATGTGCCTGGAGATACAAAGAAAGAACTTAAACACCAAGTCACACCACAGGCTGTCTAGACCATTATCCTGTTTCTAACAGCAGTCAGTAAAAGATCTCAGAAAGAAACATAGGCCTGAGATAAGTGTAGATTTATCCTTCACCTGGTATATATCCTCCCAGCTCTGGCAAACATGGGTAGATGACTTTCTGAACCAAAAACAGATACCCTCTTGCTCAGTAACTACCAAGGAACCCATCCTGCCCTGATTTTTGTGGTCCTTTTTGGGTATATTTGTAGTTCTGGCCTATGGCAATCACTGTAGCTCTGGATTTTATCCACAGCTGTCCTATGTGTATAATCTTTGCATGCATGTATACGTTACTGTGTATGCACATCTCTGTTCTATATGTTATACTTACATATACATTCTGGAGCAATGCCATAATTTTGGTTGTACTGATTGTAGTTCGTAGCTAATAAATGGAGGTGGTATTGATTTCTAGCCTTTGGAAGAGTCAGCTTCATCCTTTGTAACAGGGTGTCAGAAACAGAATATCCCAAATTTAGATGAATAACTGAAGATTCACTAATAGTTATGTATCTTTTTACACATACTTAGGAAATTGAGAGTTTGCTGTGATGTGCTTACTGCTTGAAGAGATTCTCTCTTGTTTTTCCCTACTCAAGCAATGTTTGGGTTTTCCCATAAGAAATGCAGCTATCCTGACCTGAGAAAAGGGAGTATGCTGTACAATGGAAGCCCCAGCCAGGGCACAGTGGTGCTTAGACACTTAAAACTTTGTGACTCATCACAAGCTGATTCAGCTTATGAATTTATACACACACGTGTCTGGTGCGTTTTGCTCTAGTCTTTTCTAAGTGTCAGGCCAGCTGAGTGGGGAGGGAGAGAAGCCAGGGACTAAGCCTGGGGACTTTGGCAAGGTTATGTTAACAGTCCTTGGAAGAGGAGTGGGTAGAGTCATTCCACAAAACCCCTGGTCCTCTGAAAATGTATACAACTCCTCTCAAATTCATAGTGGGAAACAGTAATATATGATTAGGATGAAAATTCAGACTATTGTGAAATAAATGTAGCTAAAATATTAGTATCTTGGAAAGGTGGTTTCTGCTCAGCTAACTAGGCTTCAATATACTTTCAAATGTTGGTTAGAAAGGCAGTGACAATACAGAAAATGCAATCTTTCAACAGCAAATGTGACTGATAAGTATCCTATTTAGGAACATTCAGTGGTAAGTTTGACTTATTTTATCTGAAATTGATCCCAGATTGTTTCTGAAGATTTTAGTAGCATGCAGTAAATGGATGCCAGTAAAAATAACAATGCTGGAAAAAGTTTAGTTGAAAATGTTTCCAGTCAGAAATTTAGATTCAGTGAATAGTCTTGAAAACAATAAGTTATATTCTTCTCAATGTTAGTGCTTTAACATGTGCTTGAAACAGAAACAAAAAAGTTTGAGTATTTTTGGTTTTTAAGTAGCAGAGCCACAGAAGTGCTGGGAATAATCAGAAAAATGATCAAACAAAAGTAAGTTTAAACATAGCTGGCAGACTTCTTCCACTGAAACAGTAGTAACTGAGGCTAAGGGTCATCTCTTTATGGTGTCTCTTTGCATGTGATTGTTTGTACATTTAAATTAGAACTTTACATCTGGGAAGAAAAATTTCACAAAACGAGGTGTCATGGTTTAAGCCCAGCTGGTAACTCAGCACCATGCAGCCTCTCACTCAACCCCTCCTTGCCCCACTGCCACCAGGCAGGATGGGGAGGAGAATCGAAGGAATGTAAACCCCACAGGTTGAGATAAGAACAGTCAAATAAATAAAGCATAATACAAAACTACTACTACTCATAATAATAATAATTATGGAAGTAACAAGGGGAGAGACTATGAAACTAAAAAGGGAAGGGAAAAGCAAGCAATAAACACAAGTGGGGCACAATACAAGCTCACCAGCCTCTGACAGATACCCAGCCCAACCTGAGCAGCAATCTGGGACTTCAGGATGCTTCCACCCAGTTTATACACTGAGCATGACTTGCTGTGGTATGGAATACCCCTTTGGCTAGTTTGAAGCAGGTGTCCTGTCTCTACTTCCACCCACCTTCTTGTGCCCCTCCTCCCTGGCAGAGCATGAGACTGAGAAGTCCTTGATCAGACTAAGCATTACTTAAATTTCTAATTAAAGTATCATTTCCAGGGATTTAACATTGTGCAGCTAATCCAATTGCTCAGTGACTAAGAGTAGATGACCAGATTGAAAGAAATTTAAATTCCCTTCCACTCTGAATTGAAATGGAAGTCTTCTCTGTACCTAGAAAATAGAAAGTCTTCTCTTCAAGTTATTAGTCTTTTCCAAATGTGTCAAGTGTGGTGGTTTGAATGGCTCAGGGAAAAGCACAGATTGGAGATTATGTGATGGTCTAAGTAAAAACAAACAAACAAACAAACAAAAACAAAAAAAAACCCAACATTTTTTCATCACAGTCCTGAAGCCTTGTGTTACAGCAGTGCAGTAGTTTTAAGCAGTAGATGTGGCAGAGGCTTCCCAGTATGCAGCCTTTAAAACAAACCTGAGCTACTCAGTTTAAAAAAAAAAAGAAAGAAAATTATGAGGAAGCAGAGCTAAGAACCCCAGTCTGCAGGCTGGCACATAGACTTTCCCTGTATGGGTTCTCTCCCCACCAGCCTAGGCAATCAGTTAGCTCATGGCAATTAGTCTTAATAAGGCAGTAGAGTGTTCCTAGGTGGAATAGCTGACTCTACTAATCATTGTCAGCAGCTCCAAGGATTCTGGTTGCTTGCATTTAAGAGGGAGTCATATGACTTCATGCTCAGTTGCTGCTTGTTAATTTGACCTTTCCTTTTCTCTCCTCCACTAGACAGTGCAGCAGCTTCAGTTTAAGTTCTCCCTATAGCAACAGGCAAAGAGCAGAATCTTACAGAATTTGAAATGCTGTGAGATGGATATCTGAGTTTGCTTTTTCTTTTGAGTAATTATTAGTTGGATGCAAGAAAATTCTTGGATGTCTACACACACAGCCCTATTCAGGCTGGCCTTCAGCATGGCCAAAGAGCAACTGCATCCATGAAAGGCAATTCCCTAGTGGAGGTAGCTGTTGCTGAAGCATTCCCTCCCAGCAAGGAACACTGACATGCTGGACAGGACTTGGGGGCACACGGTGCTCTGAGGGGGATCTCCCCAGTCAGAATGGTTCAAGGGTGCAGTCAGACTGGGGAATTACCCTCTACGGATGCATACAGGCACTGTCTTAAACAGATGTAAGGCTTCCCAAAAAATAAAGCTGACAGTCAGGCAGAATATGTCTAATTTACATTAGGGTAGGAAGATGGTAGGTAGGTAGGGCTCGCGGTGACTTGGGAGCAGGATTCAGCTCCACTGGGGAGGTGAAAGAAGCAAAAAATCTGTTGTTATGTCCTATTACATTCTCTTATTTTTCTTGGTCAGAGTTTAGGGTTGCAAAAGTCCATCCTGATGTACTTAGGCAAAAAGAGGAGAGGGATATTTAAGTTGGCTGATGAACAAAATTCCTGTCAAAAGTAGATATTGCACAGCTGATCCTGAGTTCTGAGTCTGTCAGCTCTTCCAAGGAAAAGGACTTAATCTTTGCATGTTTGGAAAGTTTTGAGGTTGGTTTTGTTTTTTAGCCCAGTATCCATGATTTCTGTTAGGGAAACAAACAAAACCAAACAAACAAAAACCAAACCCACACACACAAAGGCAACATATCAGTGATTGTATGAAATCAAAAGCAACAGAATGTACTGTGGAAAATACCATAACAAGAAATCAATCCAGTTCGTGCTCTTGCCTTGGTCTCTCCTTTGCACTAATTTTGAGCATGAAATTTCAAGAAAAATGCTGACAAGGTGATCAAAATCCAGATTGGATCTTGGTTGCTGGCAGTGTTCAGTGTTCCAACAGTCACCAGATCTGACCGAATTACAAAGGAGGATGGGAAAGCCTCAAGGAGAAAATACTGTTCAGCCATTCTTGAAGAGGTGGAAGCTGTGTGTCACATCCAACAGGAAAGGCAGTACTACCACAGCTACACCGCAGCTCTGTGGGACTCTGCAGAAGGGAGCCAGACAATAACAGTGGCCAGAGCGAGGGATTCTGACTCTAGTTTCCCAGCTGGCAGTGACAGGGTGGAGTCCTTCCTCTGCTACCTGCCCAAAAGGTTTTATTGTGTTTGGGTTTTTTTAATCCAGTGCTTATCTACCGCAAAAGCCGTGAACTGCCCAAAACAGGGATCAGATGCCACAACTCCCCTGAGAGTATCCTAGTGTTAGGTGACAGTTGTCTCACTCACGCTGGGCACATTGTAGATATATGAGGACTCTGCCATTCACTGGAGGGGTGTTCCACGGGGCCACTTCTCTGCAGCAAGCAGATTCTTTTGTGAATTACAATTGTGTTAGGGGTTTTGGAACAAGTGATGTTTCGGAGGCGTTCAGTGGTAAAAAGTATTCTGTGAATTAAATGCGTGATGACTGGCAAATGCACTGTGTGTTAGGATAGTAATATAAAGTCATGAGATACAAGAAACCCAATTTGTTGTAATTTACAGACAACCTAGAAAGCTGGGTTTCTATTCCTTAGGAATTTTTTCCGACCTAACTTTGGTTCCACTTAGTTGGAAGCAAACAAACAAAAAGGACTCAAAATTTATTGCAAACTAAGCTGCTGAAGCCTGCAGATGCTCAGTGATACTGATACTCTTCTTGCTTTCACAGAGCAGCTGCAGACAGCTTCCAGTTCCCTTATTCCAGGGGAAATTTGGCAGTTTATTTTTCTTTTCTTTTGTTTTTTTTTTTTCTTGTCCACTCTGTATTCAAACTCTAGAAGTTGAGAACTCAATCTGGGATCAGTAGGAGGTAAAAATATGATTTTGCACTTTAGTTTGTTAATAAATCTGTTAGAATGCAAACTACCTCCCACTCAGATGAGATTAGCTCCTCTGTTCACAGCAGGACTCAAAAACTGGACTGTAGGGCTGACCTTAGCTAGGAAACATGGAAGAACAAGGTTCTTAACTGTGGAAATCCAGACCAGTTCCTCAAGTCCAAACGTGCTAAAAAGCACACATTTTAGGCTTATGTTCAGCACTTCCAACCTGCTCTAGGCATTGTGATACAGCAAATCTGTGTCTGTACCATGGATACATGCCTAACCCTTGAATTTATTCCCTTTACTCCTCCATAGAACGTTTCAGTGCTGGAAAATCATCACTGGCGGTCAACGATAGGCATGCTTCGAGAGTCACGGCTCCTCGCCCATCTGCCTAAGGAGGTGACGTAAGTGTCCACGGGAAGAATTGCATCACTGAAGCTAGCCTGTGGCTTCCTTTACTCTTCTTAGAAGGACAATGGCAGAGGCCCAGGCTTCAGAGTAGGCTGAATTGACTGCCCCCTCTTTGTGCCAGTAAGAAATCCTGAGACAAAGTTATACAGCAGCACTATTTTCTAAGACCTCGCCACTTCTGCAGCACAAGAATTGCCACGGTCAGGGCAAGGAACACTGGGAGTCACAGCAGGAACGACCTTTTCAGGCCCATTGTTGGTATTTTTCATTTTACATAGCACCAACAATTATGGAAAGATTTAGGTATTAAAAAACATGAAATAGAAAAATAAAGCAGTTGGTCAAGTAGCATCAGCACTGCTCAGGACTTCCACACCTGACTGAGGAGGTGTGGTTCAGTCTTCACCATCTTTTCAAGTGAAGCAAAAAAAAAAAAGCAGCAACGTGCACCTTGGCCAGGTTGATGCTAACTTCTTACGTGCTGGTTTTGTGCAGTGTTAGGAGTACAGACTGAGCCGGTGAACAACCTGCAATACTAAATTTTAGTCACAGGTGACCTTACTGAGAATATAAACAAGCAGTAAGCTCCATATCCCTCTAGAAATCCTTTGCACCAGACCAATAACTTCAGTCGTACTTTAAAGGACTTCAGTCTAGTCCTTCAAAACTTCAAGGCTGCAGTATTCACCACCTAGCTCTGAGCATCTAAGATGTGACCATTTTTCTAGACGCATTATCCTGTTGTTTTGGGTTTGTTGGTTTTGGTTTCTTTTTGTGGTTTGGGTTTGTTTGGAGTTTTTTCACTTCCCTAGCACTTTTCAGAAGCTTTCAGAACCAGCTATGCCAACAGGCATTTTTCTTCAGTTATCCCTTCTGAACCCATTTAGGCAGTTAGATCAGTCGTGCCCCACAGATCCCAGTAGAGACTGACCAAAGAGATCGGATTGGATCCATAAAGAAAGAGAAGCTTTATGGTAGCTCTGATTTGTAGCAGATTGTTTTGAGCTAGTGGTTTGGTGATTGAAGGGGATTATTTTCCTTAACTGTAGACAGGACATCGAGCAGCAATTGGGCTCCCTGATCCTGGCAACAGACATCAACAGGCAGAATGAGTTTCTGATCCGTCTGAAATCTCACCTCGACAATCAGGATTTGAGGCTGGAGGATGCTCAAGACAGACATTTTATGCTTCAGGTAATGTCAAAAAAATATTTTTCCATTCTCATTTTTTATTAATTTCTCAAGTCACAGTAGCTCCTAGTATGTGTTAGAATAGCGATACAATAGTGTGCCTGGACATCATCATCTCCTCACCTACCACCATAAACACTTTCCATCTGCCACCCAGCATGTCAGGCAAGCATAAGGCACCTCCACTACTTCCTTATGTAATTTCCTGCAGTTAAAAAGCTGTGCATGCACAGATAGAGGAGAGTGTCAATTGCTGGGAAATGAAGATAAGCTATTATTTTATTGCCAGACCACTGTTTCTCTTGCCAGATAATGCTTCAATCACATTCTCTCTTCTGCGGACACTGCCCCACTGGTGTTATTTGCTAGCACTGTGCAGGAGAGCCCCCTTGTCTGTGTTCTTTCCAAGCCAGCCTGACACCACATGCCCAACCCTGTTCCTGGGATGGATGCTTGGAAGCTGCCTCTGCAGAGACAGCTGTTGCCATGGCAGCAGGTGCTTCTCCAATGGATCTACCCAGCTAATGAAGAAACCATGTTTTATTCAGAAATCAGATACATTCAGGCTGGTTCTTCTGGTTAAGCTGTGGTCATTAACGGGCTCTTCAGAATAAAACTCTACCTAATGAAGCATTTTTTTGACTAAAATAGCTGCATATACCTGCTTCTTTGGAGAAACAACATTAATTTCATTCTTAAATACATAAAGGAGTTTAAGTAATCATCATTTATAAAACAAACATCTACATGTTATAAATTTGTCGAGGTTACAGGAAAGGTGCCAATTGCAAGGAAGGAAATACTGATATGTTAATCCTTCCACCTCCAGAAGCTTTGGAAATGTAGTAATCTACTCACCTGTTCTCCGTCCAACCCAGTCTTCTGTCAGATTTCTGAATGGACTATGCAGGGCAGGATAATGCACATATCATATTTCTGGACAGATCAGGCAAGAAAGCTGCGCAAATGCAAATGCAGAGGGATTACAGATCTTAACTATGGCAGAAAGTTTCTTATGTGTTTTCTTGAAGATAGGAACTGGGGCACAGACATGGTGAGATTCACTTATTTAGTGGACTCGTTGTGGAAGAAGAAAAGAAAAAAATGCAAAAAATGTTGATCAGGATAAATTAAAGAGTGTTTGAAAGGTCCTTGTGACAGTAAAAGTCCTAGTGACAATAACATCAAGGCTAATCAGTTTAATCAGGGGAGAAAAGTGACTTGGAGACTTCCCTCCTCCAGCTTTCAGGTCTGAATTTATACAGGAGATATTTCTTATGTTTTCCTCTTGGGTGCCAGAATGATTTCTGACCTCTGTCAGGGTAACTGACTGTGTCCAGTGAAGAAACGAGGCACATGACATCTTGTTCTTAGGCAGTAAGATGGACTATTACATGGTTTACTTTTCTGAAGCAGTTACTTGATTTTAAAAACCTCTTGCCATCCTGTACTCATTCTCCTGCAACGCACTTAAAAGTACCAGTTAACTAAGTGAAACCAAGCCAGGGGTAGTACAGAGAGCCCTGTGCTTTGTTTTGTAAACAGAAATATGCAGACATTAAGATGAAGCGTAATTGAAGTGAGATACAAGGTCACTCACTGAGACCACAGAGAAATGATGCCCAAATACACCAGCTTGGCTCTTCCCTTCCTTGTCATCAGCCATAGGTACTGAGCCAGGCAGTCAGCTGGAGCCAGCCTGAGGCTTTTTTGTTTGGCTTACTCCGTGCAAGAAATAGCCAAAACACTTTGCAGCCTTGGAATTTGGCCCTCCTCTTGTTCTCACTACAGTAAAGCAGAGGGCTGAATGAAAGTTTTGTTTGCTGCTTAAATAAATGCTTTTTCTTCACAAGGCATATTTGGGTGAGGCTGTCTCTCTAAAAGGTGATCTTAACCCTTTCCAACATCACTGCTGAGGTTTGGGAGTTTAATGACTGCAGACTGACTGCTGAAGCACTGCTGGACAGTCACATATTTCCTCACCACTAATCTATTTTCCTCGCTTTCAGATTGCGCTCAAGTGCGCTGACATTTGCAACCCTTGCCGGCTCTGGGATCTGAGCAAACAGTGGAGCGAACGGGTCTGCGAAGAGTTTTACCGGCAAGGTCAGCCCCTTCACACGTGGCAGTCCCTTTCTCCTTGGCCTGCCAGGCTTTCTGTCTGGCAATGCATTGGTAGCATTCAGCTTACCCAGTTTTCCTTCAGATGTCCCTCAAGAACAAGCTGTTGAAGAGAAACTCTGCCTCATTTTAGAAGTGAGAAGAGGTAGAAGAGCATCAAGTATTTCTTTGCCCTCACTGCTCCTGTAGCAGTGTCAGGAGGGAGGGAAAACTCTGCTGTGCCTCAGTGCTTGAATTCAGCTAGAGAGCCCACAGCTGTATTCTTCTCTGACCATTAGTGTTTCTGAGCTGGAACAGCACCAGGGCTACACTGCATGATAATCCTGCTGCTGTCCGTCATGTTTTATCTCGCTTTTCATGCTCCTGCCACAGCTCTGATGGGAGCCTTACCCTCGCTGTTTCCCAAATATGACATGTTCTTCTGCCTACAAATGCAGAGAAAGGGTTCAAACGCGTTTCCCAGCACGCTGTTGAAAGGGCCAAAGCAGACAAGCCAAAGCTCGGCTAGGACCTATTGCAAATATTTTCAAACCCCTGCAGAGAGCGCAGTCAAGCAGGGATTTTTTTGAAACACAGTAATTACACCATTTGGCACTATGTGCATAGGCAAGGGCATGCTGTGCTACAACACGGGGTGCAGCAGAGTTTAATCACTGCTAAATTCTTTGTTTGGAGCATCCTGAGAGCCAAAGGCAAGTGGCACTAACACTGGAAGAGCACACAGTTCATTTCAAATTCTGCAGTATGCAATTAAGCCACATGAGAGCTGGTACCTGGTACAGTTAGTCCATAACAAGGACAAATAGATCAGTAAGTTAATGTACAGCCAGTGTCAATTTACGCTGGTGAAATGTCTTTGCCTTTGATGCTTTTGAGGCGACATAAGCAATTTGCCAGATGCAAGTTTATTCAGTCAGATGTGTAATCAATATCCAGCTCATGAGGACAAGGCCCCAGTTGTGCGATACCTCACCTTGAGTGTATTGAGGGACCACGCTGAGAAAGGAAGCACTCACAACTCTTACAAAGAGGTTTTTCCCCAGGACTCAAGATTTATTGGTATAGTATCTAAAATATATACCTCCTAAAGGGGGCACTGGAGCATATGAGGCCAGTTAGAGGCATAACAGGGAGAAAAAGCATTCATGTGGGACAATATACAGAAACTGTGGTCTGACTATCACTGCTGGCTGGATAATCCTGGTAAGTGATATAAAATCAGTATTAACTACCGTGTATTTAGATACCACTTTAAAATGTGGTATCTAAATATTGTAAATAGAGGTATTGTAGACCTCTCTTCCCCCTTACAAACAATGCTGGGCTTTTTGTCATCAAGTTAAAGATTTTAAAACCGTAGCACTTACGTTTTAATTACAGATGGGGCAGGTAATACCACAATTAGTGCCTTGTTAAATCTTCCTTCTGGAAGGCATACAAAGTTTTAACATCTTTTGTATGAAGCATTTCTAATGCCATTCTAATAGAGACTCTCATCCTTATCGTCCAGTCATCTAGTGCATCTACACTAGCTCTATTAGCAAATAAAATACACAACTGAGGTACATTCCAGGGAGCACCTGATGCCTACAGCAGCTCCTAACACAAACTTTTCCTAGAAAAATACTTTAGCTTGTTCTCAGATTTTTTAAGTCAATTAGGAACATGAGGTAAGTAATGCAACTTGGTCTGTTTATATAAAATTGGAACTGGCGAGAAACAATTAAAGATTGATTCAAGAAAATGGCTAATATCTAAGCAACATTAACGACCAGTTTCTCTGATGAGGATTTAAAATTGCTTGGAAGGCTTTCCCCAGCATGAAAGCTCTCAGCAACTAATTCATGCAGTTACTTTTATAGCAACTTGAAGCGTAAGAAAACTGACCATCATTTAAGTTCTTACCATGCAAAGGAAAAACCTTACTCCTGTCAACTAAATGACCCGTCGAAGACAAGAATATATTGATACACTTTGAGCCAGACAGGTCAACCATTTTCAACTCAGAATACCTATAGAGGGGGCATCAATGGGGTTATGTGTCCACTGGAGTGGAGACACTCTTTTTTTCAATCAAATATTTTTAGAGGAGAAAAGGAAGACAGTTGAACTGCACATTTGGAAACGTGACAAACTGTTATTTTGTCTGTTTTGCTCAATTGTTGATTTTGATTGTTTGGGAAGCCAAAAGTGTTTCCCTGATATTTTCTAAATATCTAATTGAAAATTTCCCCTCACATTTAAGAAGAAATTGCATGCTGCAGAGAGAGGAAAAGCAAGGCTTAAAAGTGCACATGGTATTCTCGTATTCTATACGGGGCTATAGAACCTGAATAAGCACACTAGCATTTAAGTCAAAACTATGCAATAGCATAGGCATAGCCCTGATAACCAGGTACACCACAGTAATAAATCAAACTTCTAATTTCATCCTTCTTCCACATATATAACTTGAATTCCATAGTTCTTGACACATAAACACAAGCTGCCTAACCCCATGTTCTGGCCCTTATTTGTTAGTGCACACACAGCTGTGGACTGCCAGCAGTGGATTTAGTGTTCATTCAAAAGTCATCTTTCCTTAGAAAAATTTTTCTTTGTATGGATACTCAGTTTCTCTGAGACCTAAAAAGAAAATGTAAAAAAAAAAGAAAAGTATTTAGACATTTAATGTGGTTGTCATTGGTGTAACATTCCAGCTGATCAAATCCACACAGTTGCAGTCACTGTAAATATCTGGTATAGGTATGGAGAGGAGATGAAAGTGGCATAAATTTACCTTCCCTTCTTTTTCCCTGCAGGTGACCTGGAACAAAAATTTGAACTGGAAATAAGCCCCCTTTGTAATCAACAGAAAGATACAATACCAAGCATACAGATCGGTAAGTATTAGTTCCATTCTCTTCTCTCCATGTCTACCTCATCTCAGTATGGCACAAGCTCAAAGAGAAACTTCCCCCATCTAGTTGTTTTAACAATAAGAGCTGCAGGTATCATAAGAGTCACAATTCACATTCTAAACAAAATATTAAAAAATAAACCTTACCCAAGCCAAATATGCAATTGAAAGACAAAGGAGTCATTGTATAGGCAAAAAGGGGGCCATTCTAATATCTGTGAAGAAAAATTGCAGCCGGTGTGTGACTGAGTACTGGTTGCTTTCTAGTCTGAAATCTCCTCAGAGAAAGATGCTGTCTCTCGCAGACTGTATTGTCACACATGCATATACAGCCACATTTTGTCATATGGGCTGGTCAAAAGCTGTGCATCTCAAAAGGAACTGATGACTGCTTGCGGCTTTATTGTTACTTCTAGTCAGGGCTTTGCCGCTTACATTGCTGTATCCTCTTGAGACATTCTGTGGGGCAATGCGCTCATGGGATGAATTTATTCCTCACCTGCTGTCCTTTGTTTGTTTTACCAGGGTTCATGACGTACATTGTAGAGCCACTCTTTGAAAGGTGGGCCCAGTTTACAGGCAATACCCCCCTATCTGAAAACATGCTAAACCATCTCAGGAGGAACAAGGCCAAGTGGAGGAGTTTGCTCCACAAACAACACAGCAGTAGTAGGAGCAATGACCACTCAGGTCAAGTGACTGGCAGCCAAGAACAGACTTTGAATGAAGAAGAGACTCCTTAGTGGCAGCTTTGCACTTTTCTTCATAGCACTGCTATCTCTGTCTTGATCACAGCAGCAAACAAAACCCTGAGGAGCTAGAAGCCTGTTGTCAAGACCATGGAAAGGGAAGAAATGGCAAAGCGGAAGCTGTAAGGATCACTGCGAACAAGCCCGCGGTTCTGCTGGGTTCACTTCTGGATCTCCTTCATGTTCCTCTCCCCTCTCTTCATTCTGTGCATGCCTAATGCCATTCATCACTTCTGATCACAAACTGCCTGAATGCAGAGTCCCAGTCAGCAGTACTGAAGCTGGGCTGGTTATGGCTGCCATGAAGCAGGGAAGATTCCTTAGAGAACAGGGGAACTAGAGGCACCCTTGGTTATAAAGTCATTTACCACGAGTCATACTGTGACATATGTATATAGGCCCAGAGCACTGTACGCTTTCCAAGCTGGCAGCTGGGCTGCACATTAAACCACCAGCATCTTCAGCATCTAGAGGACACTGGCTGAGTGAGACAGCACTCACAGAGGGCAGAGAGAGTCTGGTTATTTTAGTAATTAAAACAAAAACCTTTTTAACTTTTGTATTCTGTGCACTAAACAAGACCTATAAACCTTGGACTGAAGTTTCTCTCTGTATACACAACTCCAGTGTAACAAGGCTCATTTTGGTAAGCATTTTTATGCCACTTTGGATAAAAAGATGGCATCTTCTCATTGCAAGGAACAGTATTCCCTCGCAACCAAAAGGGAAGGTGTTGTACAGTCTAAACCTTTGAAACACAAACAGATCTATCTTTTGAGTACTGTTTCAAGTAACATGTTTATATTAATATGTGTACATTTTCTGTAAATACAAAGCGCTACTGATTCCCATGCCAAAATACTGGAGTACTGTGGGATTGTTACCTGTAAAAACATTGGCACTGTGAACAGAATACTGTTAGTTTTAATACAAGAGAAAGCATTTGTAAATATGGTATAGAGTTTATTAATATACACCAATTGTTTGTGGATAAAAGCCTTAACTTTTAGCATAATTCATCTTCTGATAGCTGCCAAAATCATATGATCACAAAATATGATTATGAACTGCCTTTCCACTACCCAAGGAGTATCAAAGGTCATTAAGGAATGAAGTCTGGCAGGATAACTTCTTGAAAACTTCAAACACATTCCATATGGGTCAGTGTTTTAATCCATGGCACCTTGCACATTTGGCCTAGGCAAAAGTTTCACAGAGCCTGTATTTTTAAGTTAAAACAAACACAAACAAAAAAAAAAAAACCCGACAATACCACCACATAATTTAACAGTTCGACCTGATGATCATTTATTCAAGAGCTTGATTTTTTATTAAATAGCTTAGTGGTCTACAAAGCATAGCAGTCTTAATAATCCTGGAGTCCAATTGTTTTCTTGAGAGATGTTTCCCTACATTCCCTCCTTAGATTGCCAGCATCAGAATGCATTTGTATTTTTCTTTTCATTAAAAAAAATACTTCAACTGACTTTTAGATTAGTCTCAATGAAGGCAAAAAATGTGTTGTCGTCTGAGTATCAAGAAAAACCCTCTTAACAATCATAGCAGCTGAGGAATTTTCTATAGTCTTGTGCTTGTGAAAGATCCATGGCGTTATCTATGCCATGAACAACCTCAGCTGGAATAGTCTTCATAAAACTTTACTTAAGCTTCCATCATTTCAATGAGGTTGTATTCTCAGACACTACTGCATTCCACCAAAGCAATTGTCCCCTTCTTCTCTGCCCCCAGAAAAACTAATTACATTCAGGTAAAGTATGGTGGTGTTGGAAAGCCCCAGTACATCAAACCTGTATAGTTGTTTTCCAAAAGAATTAGCAGATACGGCCATGTAGTCACATCTAGATGTGAATACCTGGTAGAGGCCAACAAAGAAAGAGCTATTTAAGTTGATGTTTGAGAAAATTAGTATTTACTCATAGGCATGCAAGGGGAAACACAATATAATTTTTCTCAGTTACAGGGAATATTGACTTGATTAGACAAAGTGCTTATAATGTGACTAATATGTTTAAAGGAAAATAAAAAGCGTAAGTAAGTTTTGGTAAAGAATATTTTACTCTACTAATTCATTGGCCATGTATCTTTAGAGAAAGAGACTGAAATCCAGTGAAGCAGGAAGATGGAAGTCACTGTGAGAACACAAAGCATCCTGAGAACAATTTTTTTTTCTCTACTGTTCTGTAAGCTATCAGCAGTAGAAAACCTTCTTCTTCCTCCCTCTTCTAAATGGGACTCACATATTAGAAGCACCATGCCAAGCAAAGAGACAGAGTTGTGGTAGAATAAAATTATTTCTAACTACAGGGTATAAATGTCTTTTTAACCACCTAATGGTGGGGGTGGAAGCATTACCACTTTGAAGCTTTTTATGTGTATTTTGTCTTCTGACAGATTTAGGACAATTATTAGGATGATATCCAAGCAGTGTAAAATGCTGCTTAGAAGCACTTAAGTACATACAAAAGGATGTAATTTCCCTTGTTTTGTCTTTTGACTAAAAAAAATGGAAGCCATTTTCTTTTTGAAACCTTCTGAAGTTTTGTTAAACAAACCTAGTGTCTAGCAGCATAAAAAGCTCTTGACAGATGTTAAGCTGTTTCTGAGAAGCTTCCAGAAAATGAGCCCAACAGAAAAGCTTAGGTAGAAATGAACTTCTGTTACAGCTACAATAAAACTAAGACCTGTAACTAGAGCCTAAAGGATGCATTACATGGCTGCACTTACCAAGTTAAAACTTACCAACTTTGAAAAGCTTCTCATGAAATGAGCAGGTTCTGGGGTTTTTTGGTGCACTGAACACACTTGCTAGATTTCAATCACCCTAAGGAAGCAATGCTTGAAATAGGTTCAGTGCGGCTCCAGAAATGCTTCTGTACTTGTGAGCCAAACCCATTACTCAAGTTTGGGTCTGGGCCAGTTTGTGTCAGGTGTGCTGAAAAGTTAGGCACTGGCAGCAGATGCCTGGCAGCCAGGTTCACTAGGGTCTGTAATACAGAATGTTACCACCCGATTTCCTGCAGAAGCCAAACCATACCCGATACAGCCAACCCAACAACACTGGTGCTCAGTATACACAGTCGTGATACATATTTGGTATTCTCTAGTTTCGAGAACATGTCTGTACTGGGATTTCTTCCCAGGATGCCAACAGAATGCTAGAGCCACATAATAGAAAAACACCTATGTAGATAATACAGATTTCTGTCTTGCTAGCCCTATTAGCCACTTTACATAAAGCCCTTGTAAATTATTTTCCTTTCTTAATGGGACAGTGCAGCTAAAATATTTTGAAGCTTTAAAACCTGGGTAGGTTTTTCATATTAGGAAAGAAGCAGAAAACTGCTAAAAATAGGAGCTTGAAATGCTTGCCCCATACAAGTAATTTGATTAAACCTAGTTACTTAAAATGCAGATTTCACACTATCCAAGAGGCAAATTCTGTATAAATTACAGAAATTATAATAATAAAGTGGTGATAAGTTAGACTTTAGGCTGGTTAAAGTAATGAATACATATGTATTTTTGCTAAAGATTTTACCAACCTTTGGGTTTTTAAAAGCCAATGTTCCAACCGCCAGATAAAAGCAGGGGGGGAAAGGGGGAGGAAGAACTATTGGAAATGCATACCTTTGAAATACAGAAATGGAGAGAAAAGTAGCTGAGATTAAATAGGGTCTATGGAGGGGAAAAAATAACCATAAACAAACTGTATGATCTTCAGTTGTATCTAACCTGATCTATGACACAGGTCAATTATTTTTTATAAACTACTGTTTTTCATGAAGAAAATAAGTCTCCAAAAATGATCAGTGAGAAGGCTGCTACCACAGTAAATGAGATACGCCTGTTTCACACTGCATAGCTATCTCACCAGGTTTTCCAGTCTGTGGTTAAAATTGTTATTAAAAATTTCCAACAAAACAGACAGAATGCATACCAGCTCTTCCAAATGGACTCTCGTCAGAAAGGAAAAACAGTCAAGTAGTTACAGTCTTCAGGCTTATAGCCTTATATTTTGAGTCACTCATCTGAGTTGTCCATAAAGTACACCCATTCACCTCTTGACACCACAATCCCTCACTCATGGCCCATAAGAATCAATAATTAAAATTGAATTAGGATCTTCAAATCCAAAAAAGCCACTCTAAAATACAACTCAAGGCAAGCTTTATGCCATAAATATGTATTCAAATTACTTTGATTGGTGCAAAGTATTATTCTATTATTTGTTTCTATAATCCATACAATATTTTAGGTACATGAAAGTACGGAGCGTAAGTTTGACTTGGATGTAAAATATATTCTGCTTATCTTGGAATTCAAGATTGTATATGTCATGTTTATTGTAAAGCATTTTATATATACATATTCACATACCTTATACAACTCTATGGGCCAAAAACTGGTCCCACCAACTTCACAGGGACCAAGAAGCAGCCCCCATATGTGCGTATATATGCCATATGCATCATTCTGAAAGGAAGCACTAGATTGTGTGAAAATGCTGTGACTGCTATGCAGTGATGCCAAGAGACTTAACTGTATCTTTTTTAACATACTGCTGTAAGTATTCATCATGTTGAAGAATGACAACTAATAAAAACAAAAAAAAAGGAAAAAAAAAAGAATGACGTGTACAGAGTTCTTTGGTAGAAGCAGTTGACTGAAAGAATCTCCTTAGTTTGCAGAAGACATTCTGGTTTGACAATGCAGCAAAAGTCCTGCTGCATCCGTCCTGCCACCATTGCTCCTTCCTACCAACAGGATAATCACTTTCCTAGTGCGCTGTTTCCCAGAAGAATTTTTCTCTAAATTTATACCCCTAGCCTTGCTGCAGGAATTTAAAAGGAGTTACCAGCAAGGAAAGTATTTCCGTATATTTCTCCTTATGCATATAGTAGAAGGATTTTCAAACCCCAGGGAAAATGTTTCCCTGTTGAAATATTTAAAGAAGAGGCAGTTCTCTTTTACCATTTTTTCAGTTCCAGTAACTAGTTCTTCTTAATATCATCAATCAGTTTTAATCTCCATTTTCTTGTTTCTCAGTTGCGTGGAGACCTCATAGCAGCCTTCCAGTATCTGAAGAGGGCCTGCAAGGATGCCAGAGAGGGACTCTTCACTTGTCCTGTAGTGACAGGACAAGGGGTACTGGGTTTAAACTTAAACAAGGGAAGTTCTTTGCTGTGAGGGTTGTGAGGCACTGGAACAGGTTGCCCAAAGAAGTGGTAAATGCTCCATCCCTGGCAGTGTCCAAGGCCAGGTTGGACAGAGTCTTAGGTGACATGGTGTGAGATGTCGCTGCCCATGGCAAAGGGCTGGAACTAGATGATCTTAAGGTCCTTTCCAACCCTAACTATTCTGTGATTCTATGAATAGATTTTCCTTGTCTGCACAGGCACTGTGTGCATGGATGTTGATGGACAGTGGTTCAAAACAAATAGTGTAGACTAGTAAGTTGAAATGAATCACTGAACAGCCAAATTAAAATTAATATTATGGTTTTGGTTTGTTTTTTTTTTTTGTCCTGGACAAAGACTTAACTGTGAGTTAAAGCTCACATGGAGAACCTTGGAAGTATAATTTCATTAAGCAGCAATACAATATGCATGTGACGAACGCTTATTCAGGTGAAAAATAACTTCTTTTCCTACAGCTGAGGAAAACAGGGTCTCTCCACCACCCAACATAGTCATCCTCTCAGAGCTAACATGGGTATAGTTACAAGATACAGTGGCTTTAAGAGACAAGGTAGGTTCACAGCACCCTACTCTTACACCTCTTGATTTTTCAGTGATCTTGTGTAGAGTAGAGTACAGTCTGAAACAGGTATTTAGAGACAGAGAGAAAATGAACCACAGGATAGAGAAGAAAGGGCTTGAATTGGCTCTGTCACTGAAAATAATGGATCACCTTACTATAGCATGAGCTTGTTTGGGTCTCAGGCAGTTTTACTAAGCGTCGTGCAACAGCTCCATCTATAACAACTGAATTTTGCTACCAGCAGCACCACTTCCTAAGAGCTATCTTGGGTATCTATGCAGAGCGACATAGACCTAAACACACAAGGAACTGAGTAGCACAACAGCAGATGAATTTCATGCCAGATAATTTTATGGTAATGCACTTCAGGGAGAAAAGTTGAGTCCCATATACGCTACAGGGCTCATAACTATACTGTGCTACATTAGGAAGGGGACCTGGGTGTCATAAGAAGTTAAAATGGAGTATCAAAATTCATATTATCTTCACCTCTCTTTCCACTCAGAGATAAATTCTATGCCATCATTTTCAGACTAATCACCCCTCTCTAGAAAGCGCAAGTACAAGAGTGGGAAGTATGACGAAGGGTGGCAAAAAGCAATTTGAATCATGAAAAAACTTCCAGAAAGGAGACACAAGAGATAAAGGCTGTAGCTTTTTTAGTGCCACCTATCAAAAAGATTTGGGCAGATTTAGAGTTTCTGGTTTTTGCAAATGAAAACATGGGTAAAACAAAGTCTAGCGATACAAGTGGAGTTGCTGCTACAAGAGTACATTAACCTTTAACCACACAGCAAAGCTTAAAAGAAGACTGAATATTTATATGAATACAATATTCACGGGTACAAATAAATATTACTGAACTCATTATATTAGATAAAATATACTTCAAGGCTTACATCAACAATGACCTACTTGTGCAGGTCAGCAGCTGTTATGTTCAAATCTAGAATTTTCGTTCGTATGTGCAGAGGATTCCAATGAGCTTAGCCCCTACATAAGCATATTTATGAAAGAAGTACAGCTACTAAAAGGAATACACATGCACACGTGCTCATGTATGCACATGGAGCACATGCACATGGTGCTCAGCCTTATTTCTTTAGCAGGACCTACTAACATCTGGAGACAAACTCTCAGCTAGTCACTTCAGGCAATCAAAAGCCAAAGAAAATAGAAAGTACTAAGACATATGGTAGATTCAGAGACAGATTCAAGAAGTAAAATGTCTTCCTTTTTATTTTCTGTCTTCTGTGGTCATTTCTGAGTTCACCCGAGTTAAAACTATGGAGGTTTTATTGTAATAAAAAAGGTAAGCTTCAGTTTCTGTCACCCTTTTTATTAAGCATATTTTCCAGTGGTATGAAACCTAAGCTGTGTTGTTTTGTTTTTTTTTCAAGACTTACTGGATACATTTCAGTTTCACAGTTTTAAAGATTCATAGTTAAAAATATTACCATTGATGTTTGCTTTGGAAGGCATGTAGGAAAAGTGCCAGGTCTTCGTCTGCCTTTCACCAAATCCTCCATCTGTTCAAGACCTAAACATATCACAATATAACCTCGTATTACCAACAGCCTTCATTTTCTTCTGAATAGTTCCACAACTTAGGCCTACATGTTTGCAGGCTTTGAAATATAAACCACTAACAACATGATGTGGCATTTTGACTGTTACAGCTCAACAGTCATATTGTATGGGAAATGCTAGATAAAGGTGGAATTCATTTATTTATTTGCACCGCGGTTACACTTTGGAGCGCTCTCGTTACAGATCAGGGCACCACAAGGGACACCAATCCTGCTCCTACCACAAGTCTTCAAAATAATCTAATAACACATTCATGTTACTTCAAAGCTCCAGAAGAAAACCACCACAGATGCTGCAGAGAGTTAGATGTGAAAGGACAGCATTTATTTTCATGATAAAGTAGCTAAACTTCTGTGGTTGCGTGGAAAAAGTGAATTGATCAACCTTAAGTACCTACAAAAAGTACATTTTGCTGGGTTTTTTCTGAGGAAAGATTTCACTCCTTCACAAATACAACTGCAGCTCTTCGGTACCTCAGCACCGTTGATTTAAAAGGAGAATTTACACTATCACTCTTGAGTTACTTGACAGCTTCATGTTTTGCCTGTGGGTGTTATGTTGCTCTCAGGGACATCTTATATAATAATGCAGATGTAATTTTTCAGCTGGCACAACCTATCTATAAGCTTAAATTTCCCTGAGATCCACGATAGTATGGAGCTGTGTTAAAGCTCTGAGTACCAGTGAGAAGTTTGCACATTCAAGAGTAACACAGTCTCCTCCCCCTGTGAAAGCAGAAGTACTTTTGAAATGCAAAACAAATACCTTTAGCAAGAGCTGACCTCTTTGTAATACAACCTATGGCAAATACATTAGAAAATAAACATACTTCAAAACCTCTCTGCAGAAAATAAAGTAAGGGGGATAGAAGGAAGGCACTGCTTTCAAAAGATGAATCAGACAACAAAAATCTCTTAGAAGATTCACCCAATTGATGAGCTCTTACAGCTAATAAGCGCTGATCACCTAGCGATCAGAACCCGTAAGGGATTTTTTGTTGGTTTTGCATTACCCTGTTGTTGGTTCACCAGAACTAGCTTTGGGTTCTACTACAGAGAAGAAATGACGAAGAGTCACCACTTCTCACTGTGGATGTCATGCTCATTATTGAAATCCACTTTCATTTAAGTTATTCTAGTTTTTACTTCCTGCTACTGGTTGGCATTATGTTTCTGTCAGAGAAAAAGGTTTTTAGTACCTTTTTTTCCACTTCTTCATGCATTCACAGACAAATCGGGTCACTGCAAACAGATGTGCTGTTTCTGAAAGAATACAGAGGCAAAACCTATAAATTTGAACAAGTGTCCTGGGTTCAGCAGTAGCAGCCAT